GCAGCGATATAACGAGATTTGACTGAACATCAATCTAAGTGACCTCATGTTTGGTCATGACAAGCCTCAACCTCTTTCTTGAAAGACAGTTTTCAGATTTACAAGTTTTTAACCACCCGCTAATGTTGCTAAAAAATGTCAGTGCCATTTTCAAATACATATTGTGAAAGGCTTAGATGGCAATATAAACTTATTTTTTCGTCTTTTTCAGTGTGTTTGTGTTGGGAGAGGAATAACCGCTACAGCATATACGGCAAAGATGAGAAACAAATTCTTTATACATACGAAGGTAAAGTTGTTACAGTAGAACACGGCTATAGTGGGACATTTTGTTCCAGAAGAAAAATCCCGCTGTAAGCGAGTTCCCGCTATAGGAATGCAAAGGGGGAAATTACCAAAAAACTTCTAAAAATCCACATGAATACCTTCCTTCCATATTAATAAAGTTTGCACTTTTGATTAGTCTTACATTTCTTGTCAACTTCATTGATTGTCTCGGCTTTTAATTCGAGTGAGAATCATTTCCTTTTGTCATTGTTGGAAGCCATCTTTTCCTGGGTTTCGTTGCTTGTGCTGTCTATCGTAAGTGGATGCGTGCGTATGCCTATGAGCATCAACAATCGCAATTCAATGAATCGGGAATCACACACTACAAGCTCTCCTCTTCTTTACTTTTTGGCCTAGCTTAGGCCTAGGGCTATGGCCTATACCCTCTCATACTAAGAGTCTAAGCTACGGCACATCACTTTTAGAGTGGCTCACGCAACGCATCTCTCCGCACCATCTCTCTCTGCCGCCTGCCCCACCTCACTCATCTCTGGACCGGCCATTCACAATACCGCATGACTGAATGCCTGTTTTGAGCCAGCCTACTGCCCCCCCAACCTCCTTCCCCCAAGCTAGAGCTCTCTCGATCTCTCCCGCTGTATCCGAGTTCGGGCCTTTCCTTGCCCCACTAAACCCGAGCTCAGGTAATTGAGTTTACATAGACAAAAAAAGGGGATTCCGGTAAGGTCCCGCTGTAGGGATGGTCCCACTGTAGCAGATGCCGCTGTAGTCGTGTTCTATTGTACTAATATTTGGCATAGCTTTGTAACACCTCTTTGATTGCACTATTTACTTTGTTCCCTTGATGAAGGGTTGTGGTTTTTTATGGTGATAATAAAAAGTAAAAGTCGTTTTAATTAGATGTTCCATACTCCATCTGAACAAATGTCGATAATATGTGAGTCATTGTGATGGATTTAGGGGCTTGTCAAATTTTAAGGAATGAAAAATCAGTATTTTTCCGTCTTGGGGGAGGGGGGTGGAGGTTTGGGGGGGGAAAAATTTGCGGAGAGACCTTCTCTATCCATTGAAATATATTTTAGGATGAATTTCCCTGAAAAATGTTGTTTGAAGCCAAAATTAAGTTAATTTGTAGAATGATTACGAGTATTCAGCTTTAGAAGGGGGACTCTCATGGCCTAGAGGTTAAGGTGTTGGCCTCTCATTCTAAGGTCCCGGTTCGAATCCGGGTAGCGACCGAAAAATTTTCTTCTCTAAAATTGTCTCCTTTCGCCTCCTTTTCTGCTCTCTTGCAATGTTCTGTCATCTGCTTTCATCTCCTCTTTCTGCCCCCACCCCCTCACCTCCTTTGCCCATTCCTCTGGGCTCCTGACTCTTTCTGCAGCCTTTCTACTGCTACTCTTTGGCTCCTTCTTACTGCTGTCTTTCAGCCACACACCTGATCTTCTGGTAGGAAGGATCTACACCTAGCCTTCTCGGACAAGAGTGAAAAATCTCGGAGGGCCCGTGTGCCAGTTGCGCACATTAAAGATCCCTTAGTGGTCTAAAATCGATAAGAGTAGGCTTTGACGACCACCACCCGCACAAAATTCAAAATTTCCTACTAACTGAAAAGTTTAATGTGTTCGGCATGCTCATATGACCTTATGCAGTTGCGAGCGCCGTAAAACACTTACCAAAAAAAAGCTATAGGAGTTGCCAAACTTTGGCAGCCATTTTCTCACTATTTTCACCTATAACAGTAGGTAACCCGTGCCTTCTGAAATTTCACATATCTCTGCTTTTATGCAAGATAGATCAATGGGGTTTTTTTTCACAAAGTTCAAGGAAAATAAACAAGCATTAAATTCTATAGCAATAACTCTATACGACCAAAAATTGACGAGCACCTGAACCACCATACTGCAGCACATATGATTATCTTAAATTGCTTTAGTTTACTATTTATTTTGTTGTAATCATCACAATCACAACTAAAGAGAAAAATAAACAGTCATATTTTCTTCTCAGGAGCTCAGTGTGTGGCTCGACAGTGGTATGGATCTCTACGAGAGCTAACTCTGACAACTACAGATAATGATGACAATCGACTGCTAAGACTAGACAGACCACTACGTTGCTCTACACGGATGTGCTATGCTTGTTGTTGTCTTCAAGAAATGACTATTTCCATACCACCGAACAATACCCTGGGAAGAGTCAAAGAGAGGTATAAATACCATGTGGTTTTCTGATGTCACCAGAAGATGGGTTCTTTTTATTAAACCAGCAAATAGTTGTAGGATCAGCAGGCCCGGGCTGAAAGGGTTGATATATATCTTTTTATTGAAAATACCTTTTTAGGAGAACTGTACTTGTATCATATTACAGTCAAACCTCATTGTACCACACCCCCTCCCCCCATTGTACTGCCTGCCCACTTACCGTCAGGTTTTGCCAATGTACGAAAAGGAGCACCTATATAAACATAGTATTTACATCTTCACACCACCGTCCGCCAACTGTCTATGTTGTACAGTCCTAGTTTAAGTAATGTAAATTTGCCCCACCATACCACCGGTGAACTGACCGCCAGAGGTGCACACTGCACATGGTCCACTACACCCTCTGGTTTGCTACTTGATAATTTTTCTCCCATGAGAAAGACATGGACATAGAGGGAAACAAGACTCTCAGCTCTGAATACATGTGCATGTACATATGTATATCACAAACGAAAAGGCACTTTTCAATCACAGATTTCTCTGCAAAATCATTTTTCCTTAATGTTTGGCAGTTAGAGCTAAATAACAGAGGAACTCTGTTGAACCGCTAGCCCCGCTATTCCTCCAACTTCATGTTCGTCCCAAAGGTGGCGGTATACGAGGTTTGACTGTAGTATCTTTCTCTTGTTTTCCTCACACAAACTGACCTGACCTTTTTGGTATCCCTGCCTCTCATGAAGCTTCAACCTCTCTATAATAGCGAAAAGATTCACAGCAGACAGCTTTTTTTTGCTTCTTTTCCTTATTATTATACGGGTGTGATAATTACCTGATTACTTTGTTTGACTGTGGGTATTGCTATCTCAGTGTTGTCTAAAAGTATCCTGTATTGTGACATTGAATGCAAAAAAATCTCCATTTGTTTTATGTCATTGTAGGCATAGATTGGTATTCTTGTTAGAAAATATTCATTGTTGTTTTCAAATCTCAGGTGGAACTGCATTATTCCCTGGTATGAGGTGGAAGACTCTCAAGGAAATCTCATGTTTTCCCTTCAAGGGACTGCCTGCCACTGCCGTCTGTGTTGTGATATCAAGTTTTCTGTGAGTAAAAAAAAAATATGTTCAGCAAGATTCCTCAATCCAATTGGCTTCCTTTCATTAATTATTCAGATTTCTGATGACTGAAGGACTAGTGTATAGGAACATTCAATCATAGGAAAAGTAGCCGAGTTACAAATGGGTAACTTGGCACTGGGCAAGAATGGAATGTAGTAAATTGTAGCAGTATGTGCCTATTGAGCTGAAATGCTGTATTTCCCGTTGAGGACCAAATTATAAATTGAAATGAAGAGACTGACCACAGGAATTATTGTGAAGATGTATGAGCCTTGAGGGGGAGGGGGGGAGGATATAATATTGTAAATCATCTTACTCCAATCTATTCTTGGGCATCAAATTGAATAGGTAAAAATTGAGATGTTTTGAATTCTGATCAAATGTTTAGGAAAATGTTTAATAAATTGAAAGATTGTTTTTTTATCTTGTCTATTTCTATTTGTCCTGAGAGTAACAGGTGAGGGGGGGTTGTTTGTTTGTTTTCTGTTTTATGAGTGCTTGCATATGTGTCTATAAGTGTTGCGTGTAGATTTATGTTTTTAGCAAAGATAATTTTCTCAAAACACATTTCCTTCCCAAAGGTGAGAAATGCAGCTGGAGACCAAGTGGCTTCCATCCAAAAGTACTGGGGAGGCTGCAAAGGAATCATAGGAGCCTGCAACAGTTACACTATTAAATGTGAGTTGTTATCTTTAGAGATGTGCCCATTCGACCCTACAATTCAATATTCACGGTTTCTGCACTATTCACAGCTATTCAAAGCATGGCACAGCCATTCCAATTTTTGTGGATAGTAGATTTTCATCTAATTTTTCTCAACCCATCGTAAAACTAGAGCTTTAAAGTAGATCTCTAAAATCATTAGGTAAATACAGCAATACTTTATACATGATATTAATGATATAGAGTGATGAGTGAAGCCAACAAGAGTTTAAAAAACCTGCCTCTAAGAAGTATTCACTACTGTTTAATATTCACTAGGTACACTAAGAGCAGTTTAAGGTAGGGCTGGATCCTGCTCGTCAAATTTGAGAGTGGCGATTCGCGATTCAGTCGGCTTCAATGAATCGCGAGTACGCGAGCGCTCGTGGAGCTGTGGCGGAACACTGACTGAAACGGAACAGTGTCGTATCAACGCCTCTTGGCGAGCGTGAGTCCCACTCTTGTTGTTCCGCCATCCTCTCCACCCCATACCCTTTGTTGCGCTGCTCTATCAATTGACCTCAATTAGTGACCCCCATAAATCCTCCCCCCCAACCCCATGATTCGCTAAAACAATGGCTCCATAAAATTCCTTCTGTCTATTGGTTGGACCCCGTTCATTTTGTTTTAATAGGGGGGTTGGACTATACCATCTTTTGCAAAATAAGGGGAGCCATACGAAGTGTTCCGTTCCGTTCTTGCGCTTGTGACTCGACTCAGCAGTAAGTTAAACAAGCCCCAAGGTGGTGACAGCGACAGGGGAGGGAATCGGGAATCGTTTGGCGATACTGTTCCGCGTTCCGCTGAAGTGAATCGTGAATCGCGTTCCACAGGAAAGAGTGGCAATTCAGTTCCGTTCTCGCGCTCGTGACCCAGCCCTAGTTTAAGGGCCCTTAACTAGAAGTGCAGCAGATAGCTTTGAAAGATACTGACAGTGGGCTGTTGCAGTGAGCTCCCGTACACCCCCCCCCCCCCCCCCCCCCCCCGTGCCTGGCAGCATGATGTAAAGGTTAGAGCAGATGGAACCAGATTTTGAAGTTTTGTTTCAAATCAGAGCTCATTTTCCATCTTGGACAGGTTCATTAAAAAGTCTTCAAGGGGAAGGCATTTCTCTTTCTATTTCCAGGTTGAGCAGGTTACCTTTTTATAAAGGTAATTATAGAGGAATTTATCCAGGGGGAAGCAGGGCCGGGAGATTCCATTATGACCGGTTTCCATCTTGAAGCGTTTTCATCAAGGCAGGTTTGATTGTATTATTTACATTGCTTTATAAATTTGACAGCTGCTCTGTTTTGCTCTCTAAGTATTGTGTGTCTAAAATGATCTCTATTGACTCTTCTCAGATCTGGATGCCCTGTCAGGACAGGAAAAAGCAGTCGTATTAGGAGCAACATTTTTATTGGATTTCAACTATTTTGAAAGGCATGGGAAATGTTTCTGAACTGTGTTATAAGAATGTGTACACAAAATTACTTTAAGATGATCTACTCTTTCTGTACACCCTGAGAAAGACAATTTCTCAGCCTATCAGAATTTTCTCAGTTGACTGAAAGTGAAAGAGCAAGTGCCACACTCCCACCAAAGGATATCTTCTGAATTCTGACAGCTGTCTTTTGGCTGAAGCTGAAAAATCTGCTATCTTGATATCATACTTGTATGTGCTTACTCCTCATAAAAAGGGCCAATATAAGGTTCCACACTCTATCAAGTGGGATGGTCTCCTGGAAAGCATCAATTTGACATCGGCGTCTGTGCTGTAGTGGTTAGGCACTTTGCAGTCATACACAGGAGACTAGAGTTCACATCCCGAGTGGGAAGAACTTGTATTGAGTATCTCCGTCTAAAAACACCTGTATTAAATATAAAATCCTTGAATCAATTTGGCAAGGATATCATGTACCCATTTTCGTTTCTTTTTTTTTTGGTTACGGTATCATCCCCAACCACCATCTGCAGCTTTCTATTTTAGTTTAAGCAAATTTTTATGTTTATTTTCTAGTTTGTAGCTTTTTTAATAACGTAGATTTATTTGTAAAGGCACATTGTTTGACTCTAAGCTTCTAAATATTCTCGCCGTTTCGTCTTCGAATGATCCTTTTACCACTAAATGAGCGTATTCGCTTTGAAGAAACTGTGACTCTGCTGACATAATTGTGAATAGCGTTGCCATTTCATCTTCAGTCATTACATATGTGCCGTCCTCTTTCTTTCCTATAGTATACAACAGTTTTTGCCCGGTTTCAGTATATCTGGCAGACTTTGATATTACTTTAAGCGTTGGCTTAAATTCAGTTTAAATCCCAACAGGTGAGTCATTAACTTTTAATGAAGGTGGCAACACAATTTTAGCCAGTGAATCTTTAATGCCATCAAACTCCTTTTGAATTTCATTAGAATTCTGTATGTGATTGGCATGTGTCAACGTAGAATCCCTACCACTACTGGTATTGGTAACTCCACCAAAATTTTGAAAGGAACTATCCTGACCCTGTGGCAGCGGTGTGAAATTAGACTGAGGTCCACTACTCTCCTTGTTTTCAATTAGACTTCAGAGTTCGTCAAAAGATTTCAGTAAACTTGTAATAGCCACTCACTGTTCATTCACATTACGTTTGTCACTGCTGGTACCAATCGTTTCTTGTTTTGGTGCCTGTGTAGGCCTGCCTGTCGAAGCTGTTTTCAGCAGTTTCTCCGCATATTAGAAATCTAGGCCATTGTTTATCTAAGTGGGGCAAACATGATCGCACAACTTACGGTGAATCCCAAATATCTAGATCTAGATTCTTTACGCATGTTCGTGGAAAAGTTGCTGTAACCACTAACATCACTTTTCAATTGGTTTTACGTTGCTCTGTAGCTCAATTTGTTTTGGAACGCATTAAAATCTTCCTCTGCTCGCTCCGCACGCCTGCCTGTGAGAATGCACAAGGCAAGAACGATAATCACTACACATCCATTAATGATGTGTAGTCAGATCTATTTATAGCTCTCAGCAGACTACTATTATAAGATGATGCACACAATGCAGGTGTCAAATTGTTTTTACTCAATGCATATATATGCAAGACCGGTACATTCAGACCTCGAGCAATTACCAGAGATCTGATCTTTTTTGTAAACCCGGCCTAACAAATGTTTTTGTGATATTCATGCTTTAACACTTTTAACTGTTTGTACTTTTTATAAATGTAGTGATGTACTTGAGTTGCTCTCTTTTCTAAGCTATGAATATCATGTATAGACTTAGCATTTGCAATCAAAATTTTAATGTGTCTCATTTTCAGTTCATACTGTACTCCTGTATCTTTTTTCCACTGTATTTGTAATCAAATATATTTTTCTATGATATTATTGCTGTTGCATGAAAAATGAGTAACTCCAATTCTTTTTGCCCCCACCCACAAAGCAAAGTCCGAGAGAGTTGCTCATTCCCCTTGCAACAAAAACATTTAAAGAATAATTCTGTACAAAATGGAAATGAAAGTTTGCATTGGCTGTGGCAAGATTTTAGAAATATTTATGAGTATTATGAAATTTCTTGATTAAAAGATGACATACCAACCCTGATATAATTGTTCCTGTCTTATTCGTACCTGTTATAATATATCTCTTATCATCTTCCACTACTACGTACGTTCGACATCATGTCGATTTAACCTTGTTGAAGAGGCCAGGTTTGAGAAAAATCAGGGAACGTAAATGTGGCTGTTTTAAGAGATGACGTACAAATTATGGCTTGTTTCCCTTGGCGAGCCTTTGTCTCGTGCAACGAGCTGCAAAACTGGATAACTGTGCCTGAACGCTTGTTAATGTCAACGCGTGAAACTGTGCATGTACATGATATGTATTATCTTTTACCGAAGAGTTAAAACCTGTGATTGGTCCACTACACACTGTGTATGTCCTGCATAATATGAACTTTTTCAATAGACGTTGCTCTTAAGTTTCATAGGTTTAGCATCTGCGTTTGTCGCAGCCGCGACCCGCGAATCGCGGCCGCGATTTTTGGCATTTTTGGGCCCGCGAATCGCGCCCGCGAATCGCGCCCGCGATTTTGGCATGTTTCCTACAAAAAAAACACCACCGGGAAAAAAATATTTTAAAAACAACAACAAAAACTGGGAATAATATTCGTTTTAAAAAAAAATAAACCAATCCTCTGTACTTTTAGAAAGAAAGTTTATTTTCACTTTCGCTTCACTTCGTCTTTTTCTCACTTCTTAAAATTACGTTGATTTTAATTTTCATGTGAAGAACATAAGTAGGCTACGTTACATATATACGTTTATTTTTCTCGTTTTTACACTCTGTGTGTGGGTGGTGGCGGGTGCTCTGGTGTGGTTTGCTTCTTCTTTCCTATGAAACATCTATCGTCTTTATTCCCCAGCTTCTTCTATGTAAACCTCTACATGTACTAAAACTAAGCACCCTGTGTGGCTGCAAATGACATTCTGGATGCTTAAAACAGAGCACAAGAAATTATGGTGTTTTAGATGAAATTATCTCTATCAACATATTGCTATACGTCGTCACAGAGAGTTGAAAGCTTGAAAATTATTGGCAACTTTTTTGGCAACTTTTGCCATTTTTGTGGCAACTTTTAGACAAAAAAATGGCAACAAACGCAGATGCTAGATAGGTTCGGGTATTTTACGGTCAGGTGTAGGAAAGGGGGGGGGGGTGCCCATTTGCTCAAAACCCAGCTCTATTCAAGCACCTCAGATCCTACAAATCAAGAGTTTTGGATCTAACGGTTATTATTATACATTCCAGATGCTATTCTCAAACTACATTAAACCTACTTCTATTTTGACCGCTGTCAATTCTTCTTAATACATGTAGTAGGTGTTTTTATGCCACCATCGACACAATTCAGATCATTTAGGGGGCAGGCTTCTGACCATGCCTGTCAGGACCAGCCCGGACTGAGAGGGATGCAACATTCCAGCAGAAAGACTTCTTTCTCTCTACTCGGGAATCGAACTCGGATCTCCTGCTTGCGACAGGGAAGTGCCTAATCGCTACCCCATGAAAGCCGATTTAACCACTGAAAAGTTTCCAGAAATGTACAATTCTAATGGATGGGTGGGAAATGTTAGACAAGCCCATAGGGGGCGTGCGCAATGTTCCTGAAACAAGATAAGTCCGCGAATATATATATATATATATATATATATATATATAATGGAAATCTATATCTGAGAATAGTAACTGCAGTGTAACGTGTAGCACTAAGTCCCATGTTTTGACTTGAACTTAATATGAATAATTATACATTGCTATAACAACACGGAAGGAGGTGGTTTGAGGTTTTTTTAAACTTCTTTTCTTGTTGTGCTGAATTTTCTGGTAACGATACTGTTTTTCCAGGCCAGTGTACGTTTTTGTAAAGTGTCTATAGTTCCATTAATCCATCCGGCTAGCAATATCTCTCTCTCTCTCTCTCTCTCTCTCTCTCTCTCT